TCCGGTCCTCAGGGACCCACAGTCGGTCCATGTTTTTACTCCCTCTGAGCTACCTGCCAGACAGTTCACATTTCTGCTCCCTCCTGGTAGAGAGCTGGGAGGGAGCGAAAACGTGGACTGTCCGGTGTAGAGCATCATGGTGGAAGAGGTGTTTCTCCTACTCTGGAGTCCAGACTTACTGCTTTGCAGCGGAGTCTTCGTGGGCTCTGGGGGCTTGTGCGGATGATCCTCGTTGGCACTCGGGAAGTGCACATAAAAGGCTTTACGTTCTTCCTGGATGAGTTTCCGGCAGAAGAGATCAGATTGAATTCTGGTGTGTAATTTGTGAGAGTCAGACTGCCCTGCCATAGCTGACAGGCATCCTGCGGGCCGCGGTGTTGGTTTTCGAGTTTGGTGCGATATTGAATTCTCACATCCTTTATTGCTTTCCGGAGATGGTATCTGCATTTCTCGTATGCAGCTGCGTCTCCAAGCTGGAATGCAGTGGTGCAAGCTTTCATTTACTTGGGGATATCTGCCTCGATCCACGGTTTTTACTTTGGGAAGGAGTGGATTGGATTTCTCATGTATTTTTTTTGATGAAACCCATGGCTGCATATTCATCCAGATAAAATGAAGAGTCTCTGATCTTGCCCCAATCCTTGGAATCGAAGGAGCTCCTGGACCCAGCAAGTATCTTGGTTAATAGTGTGACAATGGCCCAGAGTTTCTGTGCTGGTAATATTAGGGCTAAACCTTCCTGAAACATGCTTTGCTAAGTCTCCAACTGTGCCTCAAGACACACATTTTCATGGTTCGGTGGCTTACGTTATATTTTGTTTAACTCTCGCTTTCATCCAAAGCAATATATAATTGAGACGACACGGTCAGAAACATCCTGAAGCAACTGGGGATTAAGGGGCCCAGCAGCGAAATCATCAAACTCTACTTGGGATCAGAACCAATGATGTTCCAATCCCAGCCACAGCACCCTAACCCATGGAGATACACGCCATACACCGGTGATGCCCCTATGAAGCTCATGTAGGGCAGTGCTGCTATTCCTGTACAGTGGAATCTAAACGACAGTCGGAAAATACATTCAGCAGGTAAAAAGGACAGGATCTGACCATCAGGTCCTCCATGTCAGGTAAACAATGTCGAGGAAGAATTTCTGAATCTATGGACTCATTGTTTATGAAAAAGCCAGACCATCTCCTTTGTCTCTTCCTGATAATGCATTTCGAGCCTTAGGACAGACAGAACCCACCTCACTACGCCAGGTTGGCAGTCAGCCACGTCTCTGAGAGACGGGAGTCCTTCGTATCCCTCTGTGAGGTTAATCTCCATCAGAGATCATCTAGCTCGCTGTCCAGTGATTGAATGCAGGCCAGAAACAGGGCTTCTCGCTTGAACGCCCACTATTTGTCCACAGGTCCGCTATGCTCCAGGTTTGGCGTCTTAAAAGTGAAATCTCTGTATCTTGCTCTGATATTTAAGAACTCGGCAATCGTGAGTGATAGATGAGTGGATCAAATGAACAATAGGAGCAACAATGCTGTCATCTTCATCATCTCGATTTTAAGAAACATATTTCATTTTCATTCCATAATTAGCTAGAAGAACCGATACTGGAGGTGTCATATGACGTACTCAGTATCACAGAGCTCATCCTGAGCTCTACTTTTGAGGTAAGATGAAAATCCTGACATTAGTTTAACCTTATGTGTGACATCACAGCTGTGTAATCAGCTCCACTCTGAGTTGGGCTCCAGACCCCCCAACCTGAATCACGGCTGTGTAATCAGCTCCACTCGGAGTTGGGCTCCAGACCCCCCAACCTGAGCTACTGCTCCCTGACAAATATGCTTAAAATCTCAGACTGGGGCATCAAATCACAGCCACAGGAATCATTAGGATTGGTGGGAAAAAGGAAAAACAATGTAGGACCAATGGAAACTGGAACAGGTCGGCTGAATCAACACAAATCACTTGACTCCCCCTCCAAGACAACCACCCCCCCCCCCACACACACACGCAGCCTGAAATAGCGGCCTCTGCACCTCCGAGTCCTGTCATTTCAGAGCGTTTTACGGTGACAAGGATCATTACAGGGTAAATGATACAGGCTTCAGCTTTCAGTCGGACACGCTGGTCTACGCCAGCCGTCACGCATGTTCTGGCCCAGCCAGCTTTCTGCCTTTGATCTCGCCGCTACACGCCGTATCGATTGCTGCCACAGAGCAACTGGGTGCCCCCTCCCCCCCCATCCCACAGTGAAGGCAATGGTGGGATCAGAGCAAACTCCCCCTCAGCTCCCCCAAAAAATGGCTTCATTTAAGCCGCTTCTCCACATCATACACACCTACAGATGTTGAGTTAATCCTCTACTGCCAGCTTCAAGCCCTACCGAGTATGTAGCCCTTTCAAGCTACTGGTTTGGGTAGTAAGGGGCACAAACCAGTTTCTCTCATCTGCAGCTGTGAAAATAGCTGGACGTTGCAGACGCATGATGGCTTTGTTGGAGACGCACCCATTCCGCAGCTCCATGACAGTGCAGGTGTGAAGATGCGCGGCAGATATTCACTCCCTCCCTCCCCCCCCCAAAACCCGCACCCCCACTGCTCTCCAAGTCAGATTACCATCTTGTTTATTCCAGCACAGCTGCGAGACACGCCCCTGTACAAGCCGCCCCCCCAACCCCCCCTCCAGGGGTCATGCTCAGGCGAGGCATGAGGCACTGGCATCGAATTTGCTGTTGGTTTGGCGGGGGGGGGGGGGGGGGGGGGGCATTTTGAGGCAGGCGTATGCATTAGTGGGAGGGGGCTACCATGGTGGCTTAAGGTCGGAGTGACCCCATGGCACAGATGGCTGACAACCCCCCCCCCCCCCCAAATCCCTAGGGAGAAGTATCACCCCCACCCCACCCGTGCCTGATCAATGCACGTGCTACTTCGAAGCAGCAGTATTTTCATTACGCTAACAGCAGGCTCAGCCTTCTTATCATCATAGGCAACATCTTGACGTCCCGTCTGACTCCTGCAAAGTCTCTGCAAGATCACAATTAGAATTCAGAGCCTGGGCCCATGTCACCATCTGGGCCTGTACCGTAGCCGCTTGCGGACGTGACCTATGATCACAAAAACATTAGCACTGGTCGATTTTACAGCCCGTTCCATGAGCAGAACTGAATCCAAATGAGTCTTTCACACTTTCATAATGTTGTATAAAGCTGAATGGTTTCTTCGCTTCTCAAACAGTGAATCCTAGTTTTCATAGTTACTTATTCCCTGCCTAGGAGACAGTGCAGGTACCTTATTCCCCGTATGGCTTGCTAAAAAAAGAAACAGCTTTTGTCTCCATTTCCAGTCTCTAATCCTTGTATTAGTCTGAGGCACAAAGCCTTAAATACGAACCTGGATTATGTGCTCATCCCATAAATGAAAAACGAGGCTCATAGCCTCAAGCAGAAGAGACAGCGAGCTTGATCGATACTCCTCCACAAGACGTCCGTCCCAGGCTGCCTCTAATCCACTGAGATCTGACCCTAGAGGACTCCACAACTAATCTGTTCCTCAGTGAAGGAGAGAGCATTTTCCCTGCTCCACTAAGGTGCAGAGATACCAGGTTTCCTTTTTGGCTGATGCTCAGAGGATTGTGGGTCATTGATTAGAAGCTGCTGGTGCAACAGCGTTGCTCCAGAGCAGAAGCACACTTGGTCTAGACAGATACAGATGGCGCACTGAACATCATCCGTGATCCTACATACAGATGGCGCACTGAACATCATCCGTGATCCTACATACAGATGGCGCACTGAACATCATCCATGATCCTACATACAGATGGCGCACTGAACATCATCCATGATCCTACATACAGATGCCGCACTGAACATCATCCATGATCCTACATACAGATGGGGCACTGAACATCATCCATGATCCTGCATAAAGATGCCGCATTGAACAACGGACATGAGGCTGGCAAAGCAAAATGTAAATAATATATGTTTACCTGTATGCAGCATAAATAGCTTCAAATGTAATTTTATGCTGCAATTCACTACTGTGATTATGAATATTCATCACCGAATGGTGTTTAAGTATCTTCTCACCTATTCTAAAGAGTGTTACATTTTAACATTCACTCCAAGGCTGCATGTTGATCGCAATGCTCCTACCTCTGCCACTTGTCTGATTACATTCTGTTTCCTGGGTACAGAGTAGCATTTGGGAAATTTAAACTGGTGAGCTGATAAGAAAAAGTTCTTGTAGAAGAAGAATTATTGAAGCATACAGGCCATTTTCCTATCTCTTTATGCGAAACGATGTCTGTCATTTTGATATTCTTTAAAAAAAATCCCAATATATTAAAGCAAGGAATGATATTTAAGGATAAAATACCTAAAACTGCATCAACTGAACACTATATAATAGTCTGGTACCTTTTCAGAAGATGAAATTAATAAAATGTCTACAAAGCAGGATAAAAAAAAACGTAAAGATGAGACCTTCCGCCATAATTTCTCTTTTGTACTCATTCCGCCAGGCTCACCCTCTCTGTTTCACAGTCACTTTATTAGATAGACACCTTCTTCTTTTGAATCACAGTATCAGTCTGAGATGAGCCAAAGAGAGGATAGATATCGCACGTACAGCATCTTATCCGCAGTCCCCAGAGTGGGACCGCGTCCCCATAAACCCTTTAAATAAACACCCCCATCTCACACACTGTCAGCCTTCCTTTTAAATCTGTCTAATCCAAGAATGCTATCAATATGCAAGCAGTTCCTTTTATCCTTCGACGTCTCTCTGTGTGTAAGTCACTTTATGTCCGATTTTACAAAAAAAAAAATACGTTCTGCGTAATTGGGTTTATTCTGTTAATCAGTGTTGCATTGGCTGTTTTTTTTCCTGTTGAATAGGTCACAGACGTATTTTCCATTTTAAAATGGAAAATTCAAGCAATTCAAATTTCTCATATGGTTCATTTTCCTTCGCTCTTGTTGTCTGATCTTCTGCGCAGGAAGTGGTGAGGCTGAGATTAATTCTGTAATGCTTTTAGGGGAGACACAATTACAGAACAGCGTGGTGCCGCGGAGTCTGTGGCAGGTGTAACTGCAAGCTTTACGTTACAGTAATACAGAGCTTCTGGGTGAGGGGCGAACGAGCACAGACTACATACTCCGAGCGCTTCTGTCGTATCAATATTGCACGCTGCAACTTCTGGACGCTCATATTCCCTGCATACTCGCACAACGGTACATGGGGAAGACAGCCTAGAAGCATCTCCGTCAATGGTGTCCAGCCGACGTGGGCTTTCCGTCATCCACTGAAACGCTTTTGCATACCAATATATGGAGCGATAAAACGGTGAGACATCTGACCAATCGTATTAGAATTTAAATGTATAATATGCTGTACACAAGATATGTTATTAAACTACATAACACTATCAACAGCCATATATCGGTAAGAGAAGTCACTTTGTATTGCAGTCTGCTACCTCTAAACTGATTTTTTTCATTTATATATTAATCGAACTTGAAATATTATTATATTTTAATATTATATTAAAACCATTTCAGTAGCACATGGTATCTGGCTACTAGCTAGCTACGGCCTGTTTCACAAAGGTAGACCTACTGAAATATTTGAAATTATGTAAATAACTGTAATGTCACGCAATGCAACTAAGAAGTACTTGTTCGATTTTTTTCGTTCTTTTGCGCCCCCTAATCAAATAGCGCCCTAGGCGATCGCCCTTGTCGCCTATATGGCGGCCCGGCCATGTTTGGAACTGGATAAAGGGGGAAGCGCAGGTGTTTTGGTGTGGAGACAAGACGCCCAAAATTAATCAGAGACACGCCAAGATAACGCCCCACGAACACTGACGTATTATACATTAGACAATCGTCCCCACAGCTCCTTCAGGAATAGAAAAATAAAAATATGCTCGGTTAAACACGGTAAAGCGCGTTCAGAGGAAACAGCTCCCCCTATCGGCTCGCAGCCGCTACTGAGAACTGCGCGGCCCCCTGCCCCCACTGTTTGTGCGAAATCGGGCCTTCAGGTGGGAACGGGGATGGTCAGACCAAATGTGGGAGAAAGAAAGTTTACAGCAGAAGATGTGAGTCTCATCCGTGAGTAAGGTGACGATCCTTTGGGGATCAATGCCACTACACACCGGCACATACTCCCGGGTGGCTGCAGATGCGTAACAATCGGCATTTGTTATTATTTTTAAACTTCATTTTTATTACAATAATTATTATATAATCGTTATATAGTAAATATTATTATTATTATTATTGTTGTTGTTGTTGTTGTGGTTGTTGTTATTTAGATACTGCGATATAAGAAATACGCACACCGAAAAACCTAAAGAAAAAAGAGACAGAGTGGAGGGAAAAATAATGAAGTCCCTAGTCGTGTAGTGTGTAGGGCTGCTGGTGAGGGAGTGGGTGTGGGGATTGGGAGGAAGCGCTGCACCTGCCTCAGCTCAGTCGCGCAAAGCGCACGGAGGGGGACAGAGGGGGACAGAGAGCTCCGCGCCTTCAGCCACGCTCCGCCTGTGCCCTGCTCTCTATGATCGGACTTCAATAGCGTTTCTCCTCCGCGTCGGTTCTCTTGCGCTGTGGACGTTAGCGTGACTATGGGATTTGCCACCGCAGTGTCTCGGATGTGCCCGATCGCCCGCCCGTCCATCTCGACGTTCAAGCTGGCGCGTCTCTACTCGTCGGGCTCCGTGTGAACGCATCCAGACCAACTGACTGCTTCCAGTACGCAGATTAGGCGGCGATCTAATAGTACTGTTCCCCTCATAGGATCTGGACTGCTGGTGAGCCCGGGATCAGTCAACCTGGATGGTTTGTTTTCGGATAAACACCTTACACGTCCACTGCAAAGAGGGAATCCGGGCGTGCGGTGCGGGCTTCGCCTCCGTAAGCACGTTGGTGTAGACCTGCTGCATTCACTTGGATGTCGCCGATGTACACGTTTACCGCAGCTTATTCTTTTCAATTAGGACCTGCCGTGCCTTAATAGCCTACGTTCTGCCCAAGCGAACCCTCTTTGGATTTATATAATAAAGTGATTTTCGTTTCTTTATTGTCTGGACTCCGGCGCTTCAGGATTATTCACCACAAACGAATAGAAAGGAAACCACCAGGAAGCGAGAAGGGAACTATGTGTGTCTAGAATTGGTAAGTGGGGAGTTACTCTACCGTGTCTTCCTGGCATAGCGTAAAAATGCAGTAAACATCCTAGAAATGGCAATTCGAAAGCTGCAGTATTACCAACTCCCGGATAAAATAAATTTAACTAAATCTTAGGCAGATTAAGATTTACTGGACAGTTCAAGATAAATGGATATGATCTCCGATGTTGTACATGAATGTGCACGCGTGTTCGTATACGTGCATCTGTGTATGCACATATAGGCGCTATATATATATATATATATATATATATATATATATATATATATATATATATATATATATATATATATATATATATATATGATTGCACGCATGTATATGTTTGGCAACGGTGTTTTGAAGCAGCAGAAGTTTCCCTAACCCAGTCTGAATTGCTCGCTCGCAGCGGTCAGCTTCTGTGTCTGCCGCTACGCGCTTGGGAAGGACGGGGTGTGTTTGCGGGATTCGGCATCGCCGGGAAAAGCTCCCGCAAGCCTCGCGCTTTCGCCGTTTCCAGTCCTGCCTGTTGTGCCGCTGCGTTTTTCTCTGATCTAATCGGCGTCTATATTATAATGCTCGGATATTCTAATTACGTCGGATCCGCAGCACCAGCGTGTGGTGCGTTTTCACACGTATGGACGTACGCGTTTTTAAATGCTTGCTTACGTTTTAATGTGATCGTAGAACCGTATAACTTGAATTATTAACGATTAATCCACCTTATTTGCTGTGGCTTGTAATATCTTCGGCGGTGAGTCAGATACACGCAATGACAGGTCGGAGCAAGTGGGCGGGCCGGTTCCTTTTTAGGGGAGGGGGTTCTTTAAAAAACCTCCTGTTTTTAGGGGACATGAACCCCCGATTTAATATGCCGATGATGAGCCGTTAGACTAGAATGACAGGCAACGATCACACGCGCGACTGCGCCGGGAGCCAGCGTCAGTTTGGCTGGACCCGCCGATCCTCCCTCCCCCGTAAATACAATGTAACTATTAATCGAGTAGAAACTTACTATATCGGCTTTAGTCAAGGACGCATTAAACATATTACTGCGTGCCTAGGCCGTAGCCAAAGTATTACATGTTTGCAGGATGCGTGTATTTTTTATGCAAATGACGTGGTAAAATGTGTGAAGACTGTCCCACCTTTGGTCTTTCAAAACTGTGTTCGTGCCTTTTGCTGGAATTTCCTAAACTCCTACAGTCTGTTAAATCTTTACTCGTCCGTATTTATGGCACAAGACGCCTTCAGGACACTGTTTTAGCTATTTAATTCCCTGCTTAGACAGACCCAACCCTGAACTAACAAAAAAAGACCGACAACTTTCCTTGTGAGTAATATGATTGATCCCTTCTGGCCCTGGGGAGGGGGCGAGGTTGACATAAGGGCGGCTGGACAGGCGGGGGGGGGGGGAGGGGGTAAGCGTGCACCAGATTGGCAACTGATGGCTGTAGCTATTGATACCAGTTGCAGAACAACCTAACAGTGTGTGTGTGTGTATAAATATGTGTAATTATATTTCTTTGTGTAATTGAGATGGAAGTGATGAACATATGGTCATTTGGTTTACTACTAGAGGATGAAACGCTATATGACACGGTAAAGCATTGCTGCTTTGATGAATTGGCAGCATGAAATATCCTACAATCCTTATCCAGTACAGGGGGACAGGCGGCAGGGGGGCCCAGGCAGGGGGTGGCCAGACGCCATTTCATCATAAACCTGTGTAATATGGGAGAATGTGCAGACCTCAGACATGCAGAGCAGGGTGTGGGATTCGAACCCCCAGTCCTGGGGCTATTCAGTTATGAGTTTTCTCATAGATGCTACTGCTTTTACACCCCTTACTTGCATCAGGCCCCTCTGGCTCCGGGGGGAGGGGGGGTACTGGGGGTTATGTGTCACCTCCATGGCACCATTGAGATAAAATACCAGGAGCTTTCCTATAACAAGAGGCTCCCTGTCAGAGCTCGGTCACTTCAGCGCCCTCTCTCATGAGCCTCAGGGCTTCCTGGGAAGGGATCCCAGAAAGGCGACGGGAATTCCTGCATGGCTCTGCCTCGCCGAAGTCCTGGGTGGGTACGAGTATCCCCGGGAGTGAACTGTACTCTGAAATATTGAGTTACAGCTTCGGAAACAATTAGGACAGAGCTGCGGGAAGCGGGGGAAACAGCCACTGGCTGCTGGGCTTCGGGGTGTTCATTCCTGAGGGGGAAACCAAGGCAAAGAGGCAGTAATTGGAGATTGAAATGTGTACCCAGCATCTGTACCCACATCCAGAAGGTTGTGGGTTCAAATCCCACCATTTGGCAGAGCGATGGCATCAGTATTGGGCCCGATGCCCCAAATGCTCCATAGGCACTCGATGCTAGCCGATCTGCTCTCTGGCCCCGGACTGTCCTTGCTCGGACGTCGCTTACAGCAAAGCCTCTGCCAAATAAAGTGAATGGAAAATTAGCCCACGGAAGCTCGTAAATTAAGTCTTGTGTTGTTGTAAAGGAAAAAAAAAAAACGTAATTCCCGAAGAGCAGAAAAGCCTCCGTGAATCATGCCTCCATTGATCCCACTGACAGACTCATTGTCCGCCCCCCCCCCCCCCCCCTCCATTGATCCCACTGACAGACTCATTGTCCGCCCCCTGCCCCCCGCCCCCCACCCCCCACCCATCCCTTCACAGCCCTGCTGGAGTTTCCCGCACACAGGTGGTCTCACTGTGGGCGTTATTGTGATCCAGTGAGCCCCAGCTGGGTGTCGGGGAATTCTAATGGCTCCCCGCTAGCACGGGGGCGCTGCAGCCAGCTGGAGTGACCTGTGAAAAACTCCCACTGACCACATGTTACTTCCGTTAAATAAACATGCTTTTGATTTGTCCATTTATATAAACTGCCCAATCGTGTTTCTTTTTATTACTTGGTGTTTCCTCCCGTCTTTTTTCTCATACTTCCTGGGATGGGCCTCCACATCGCTATGGTTATTAATGAATCGATCATTATCGTAAATAGCAAAATTTTGCAATGGCAGAATCTGGCCAAAAGTGTGGCTATTTTGTGATTGATGACTGACTGATTGATCTGTTTCCATGCCAAGTGGAAACGCCAAAGAAATCCCATCGTGCTTTTAAGCAGCAGGATTCCGAGGCACTGGACTTTCCTGATAACCTGCCTTGGGATTTTTCAGAATTTCTATCTCGTCACAACAAAGTTCCTTAACAATGGCATCACTCGGATAATTCTCCGTGCTAGAGGGCAGTTTAATTAAATGCAGCTATCTCCTGTGTCTCATTGTGAGACCTGTTCAGACTTGGTGTCATATGATGCGTATGCAGTTTTAACACCTTGTGTACCTTCAGAGTGTGATGTAAACACTCACCGGCCTGGGCTGATCTTGAGAGGCTGCTGTTGTTGTGGGAATGGCCTCCACTTTGACGCAGTAAGGACAGTTTGGCTAAAGGGGACGGAGTATTTTTTTTTCTCCCTGAAATGCGACACTGGAACAACGTTCTTCTGTGTTGCCGGCACGCGTGAGTGAATGAGTACAACTACAGACCAAAACAAAAGACTGTCGCTGGTCACAGATGCACAGTCCGTGTAGCACATTTGTTTACTGGGTGTGTTCTGATCCGGTTAATCTTGTCTTGCCGCCTGTGCCTAACGTCCACTCTGCCTGCTTATTATGGCATTGACACATTCTGCAGAGCACTGGGTGGTTCACTGTTTCAGTGAACTGGGGATTTTTGGGTGACGGTGATGAAGAACTGTATCCTGTCAGGGCAACTACAAGTCAAGAACTTGTTGTTGTACCATTGAGCAGAAACATCACCTGAAATATTTCTCTTTATATTGTTTGGCTGATAATTTTTGATTTTCTTGTCATTTTAAATTTATACATTTATCAAATAAAATGTGGATCATAATTCTTAATTATTGGTGTGAAATAAGCATTGAAGTCATTGTAACCATGTGGTAACCATAATAAAAAATAAATCTGGGAGGTACATCCCGTCAGAGCTGTCGAGGTGTAGGGGCGCCACTCTCTTCTGGAGGGCATTGTTCCTGCAATCATGGACCACCATTGTTCGTCTTTACGGCCCTGATCAAAGGGACCTCCAGGCCTGTCCCTTGAGGGAGACGGGTCAGAGGTTGTGCTCCCCGGGTCGGAGAGTGGGGGGGGGGTCACCCTTCTTGTGTTTGGGGCAGAGGGGAACCATCTGTTTGATCAGCACTGGGGTGGCAAGCAGCTTATCAGTTAAGACACGAGGCATCCATATTCTCCCTGACATATGTCAGTCACAGCGGACAACTGGTCTGCAAGCCCCGCCCATCTGCTTCCTGTGAGGAGAATGACAGAGGGGTTTGCTCGAGTCTCCAACACCGGCCCACTCATTCAGGGGTCGAGCCCTTTATCTGCCATCTGGTCTCATGTCCCGGGGGGAGAGGAGCTGTCTGCATTCCTTACTCTATCCCAAGTAAGACCCCGGCACTGTGGGCGCACAGCAGAATGCCTGCGGACGAAGCTGGTGCAGTTACTGCCACGCGGAGTGGGGAACACAGCAGTGGGACAGGCAGATCAGTGCGGGCCATTGTTCCCGAGGTCACCCAGGGAGCAGGGAGTTTGAGGAGCGTAAGGGGGCGGGGGTGGGGCGCTCTGAAGCACGCAGACATTCCAGCTGTCAAGAGGTGGAATCCAGCAACAAGCAGCCGCAATTCTGACGATTTCACTGTGTATTGATATGAGATACATGGCAGAATCTCTCTGCCTCTATTCCATCTCTTCCATTCTGCCGATATTTAGTCTGCAGTATCCTCTTTATAGCTCCCCTTCTCCTGACCCCCCACAGCCCTTAATTGAAGTCACAACTCTGTGGGAGATCAGCGGGGGGGGGGTATTAAAAAACATCTTAATTTTAACGAGGATTTCGGTGGATTCTCTGCTCATAAATGATACACTGGTTTCAGACAAACACTAAAGTCTTAACAGCACTGGTTCCATGGTTTTAATCACGT